TATTGAATTAAGGGCCTTAGAAGGTGAGGGCTGTGCAGTCATAAATTCCAGGAATGCGGATGTGACTCTCCGAATGTGTATATGAAGCTGACAGGGTTTGACAGCTACCATCTGTGAACAATAACGTATAGAGAAGCACAGCTCCACCATGCAGGCTGGAATGCACCTATCAGGCTCGGAGGACTCCAGCAACTTACTACTCATTATCAGCGACTGTGGTCATGATTAGCTGCAGGGGTTGGAATGAAACTTGGAAAATATGAGAACAAAGTTCCCCTTGTTAAGGCAGAGTAATTAGTTTTATACATGCGAAGAGAAAATGGGCAGGAGACTTCCTCTCCCCCCCTCCCCTTTATTAAGTGTTTACCATCCGAGCACTGCTCAGGAACACTAAAAAAATGCGCAATGGAAATGGATAGGCTGTTACTTCTTTCTGCATCATTGGAAATATGAGAAATGGCTATTTTGTATTCATGCTCTCATTCTGCAAGAGTTTTCCTGGACTTTGCAGCACAGAATGACAGGGACGTAATTACGTGATCACTGTGTTCATGTTCCATTTGCTCATCAAAGCTGATTTCTTGTGGTCTGTACTTTTCTGTGTTCCATCAGGGTGTAGCATTTTGGCCAAAATAAGCCTTTGAGTCAGAGCATCTTGTATGTAAAATCTCTATTTCATCAATGGAAAGAGGATCTTTGCTGTTTTCTCAGCCCTGCATATTGAAAACAAATCTGTGAATTGCCACAGGTTTATATTGCCTCTTGGTGAACACCGTGGTGTACAGAGCAGCTGAAGCCAGAGAGAAATACTGCTGGATTCTCACTTACTTAAGGTTGCTCAAATTAAGGTTGTCATCTTAGTGCTTAGGGTAAGCCAGCATGGGCTACTTGTATGTGAAACTGTTTACACAAGCTGAGAATCTATCCCAGAAAATGAAGGAAATTATTAAACAAGAAAAATAAAATCTATCATCTACATAATGCATGTCTCCAAGCCCACTATAATATATTTATTCCCCATAACTTTCTGCAAGCCTATGCTTTTCTTACAAAAATGACATTAATTCCAGTCTCCACCCCTTAGTCAGCAGTGAAATCCAACAGCAGTTTCAGCTCCAAAAACAAGGTGCCCGGACTTCTAGCGAGGGCATTTGACTTTGAAAAATATCCGGCAAAAACCAGTGCATAAAAAGAGAGAAACAGCAGGAAGTCTATTGAGCAAAAAGTTATCATCCATCCTCTTTTAATTGAAAGAGAAAGGTTACGGTTGGCTTAAAAAGAATGTGTGAGCACGAAAAGTAGAGTAAGCAGTTCCTGTGATAGATGGTTTAAATTTAGTTGTTCCTGCCAGGGGTGGGAGGTGCAGGGTGGGCTGTGTGACCTGTCTGGGTCCCTCTTACCGCTATTGTTCTGTAATGGGAAAAGATGAGGGGATTTCTCGGCTGTGAAGGCGGCATGTTTTTTCATTACCTGCCTTAGGAAAATGTACACCAGTGAGGTTACTGATGGAAAGCCATTCGTGTCTATGTGTTGCATCCATGGAAAGGGACCGACTTACAGAGACGTGACTTAAAGGTGTGTCTGTCACCATCATGAACATGCACCTTATCGCTTGGTGAAACTAACCCACCCAGAGCTTTGGGGTAGGGATGCACATCTCGAGCATCCAGGTTAGCTTGGTGTGATATTTCTTCACTGAAATGGCCACAGGCTGAACATGCCATCGCAATGGCAAACAGCTCTTCTCTCTTGTGTTCCTCAACTCCACTGGAAATTTGCACATTGAGCTAGTAACACTAGTCAATGCATACATGGTTCTTACTAGCGGGTCAGGGAAGGAAGATCAAGACCAATCAAGATCAGATTAGCAGTCGTTTTCCTGGTCAGTTCGTTTTCATCTAAACAAAGTGGAAAGAAATCAGTGTCTTCAATGTTTGCCTCAATGTTTTTTGGGTTTTCTTTGGACAAGTTGTATGTCAAAAATCGAAGAAAGGTGTATAGGTTTGATTTCTGACAGAAGCAGTTTACTTTTCAGTGGAGAAGAAGAAAACAACAGTCCAATGCAATCCAATCAGTATGGTAGCCACTGGGCTGGCAAAGCATGGGCAGAGCAAGCTGTTACTTCTGGTTTTACTGCTGTGCCATTTTGTGCTCTGCTTTCTTGTTCAGAGCCTGGATGGGTGACCAGTAACCCAAATTAGTGGCATCCACCTCAATCCTTCCCTTACACTAGGGAACTATTCCCCTCTTGCTTTACCTTATTCGTGCAGCACCTGCCATGGTGCAAGTAATAGTGCTAAGAATGTTAATGGGAAGGTTTAAAAATAAGTTAGGCAATAGCTGAACCAGTCTGAAAAGTTTCTTCCCTGCAGACAGTTCTTAGCAGGTCCCATTTTCTGGGTAGCAGTTGAAATGAACCTGCTATGCAAACCAAAGCCTCTGCCGACTGTCTGTGACACCTGTTTGCTCTTGCATTAAATTGGGTTTGACCCCAGCCCTGTTCAGCTTTCATTTGGGTGAGGGGGAGCTCCACTAATTAGGCGTTGTTACCATTGGTGTCTACATGTGTGTTCTGCCTGTAAGACGGAAAGCATGCCTCCACAACACGGGATGGACTGCCACAGACTGGAGCACAAACCAGCAACCCAAACACAACCCCCCTGGGGCTCTGTACAGATGTTACAGACACATACTGGTGTGGAAAGCCCTTCCTACCTGCTATGCCTTTGCTGCTTTTGTTATCTGTAATAGCAAGATAAAAGCTTGTTGAGGTTTACCATTCTATTTCATGTCCTTTATTTTGCTGTGTAGACATTTCCAAAGGCATTAAAGTCTTTGAGACTATAGCAGCCTGTAAAAGAGAACCATTTTCTAAGCCTGCCTGTCTAATGCAGGTAATCTACTGCATTCCTTTAAAGCAGTAAAGAAAATAGCAACGGGACTGAAATTGCCTGTAATTTTCCTCCTAGCATTTTGTAACTGGAGCATTACTATGTTATTTTACCTCTCTCTTTTATGTGGGAGCAGTTTCTGAGGCTTTGGGATCACATTTCTCTAAAAAGTCCTCCTTTATATGCTTTAAAACTTCGGTATGACATCAAAGTTGGTAGAACAGCTACCAAGCACTTTAATAGCAAGTTACAAGTATTGCTAATCTTTACCAGCCCTAGTATCTTGTGTGCTGCATGTTTGTTCCTCTCCCCTGTCCCAGCAAGTCAGTAGGGTAGTTGGACCGGGCAGCCTGACCTCGTTCCCTACTTTTGCTGCTTGTTCATTTTGAAATCTGTTAACTGTCAGCCAGGAATTTGTCTTATAAGTTCCCCCAGCTCCCAGTTCTCCGTTGCATTCAAGCTGTCCTGTAGTGATTAACCAACTTGTAAACACAGTAGGAATTATTACCAATAATGGGCCTAACCTACAAAGATGGTGAACTCCAAGGATTGTGTGGCTACTTCATGCCCTGCAAGTTCAACCTCAACAGGCTGCCAGAGTTAACACATTAGTTCCTGTAATGTGGTTTAGAGACTTTGTGGGGATTTTTAACCTACTTTATTGTTTTTGATTAAGCAATCTTTCTGAAGAAACCTTCAATACGTGCAACTCGGCAACTGCTCAGTGATAAAATTTTCATTTATCCTTTGCCTTTCTTTGCCTCTGTATTCCCCTGACACTACACTGTATGTCTTCGAGGACAAAAGGTTAGTTCTAAAACATCATCCACCTTATTGTTGCCTGTCCTTGTAAAGCTAGATAGAAAGCAAAACATTTACTTTTAGTTTTATTGGAGAGCAATATTTCTTTCTGCTGAATACAGATTTTAAAAACATTTTATATTTCCATTTAAGATCTGACATAAACCTTATTCTGTATGTTGGGTTCTAGGTGCTGAGTAGGCACTGATGTTTGGAAAGACATTCATTATATATATTATAACTGTGTAACTTCAATTTGTTTAACCGAGTGATCTTTAAGATGTAACTTCTCAGGTTTTAGGTACAAGGAAAACTAGGGTTTGAGTGTCTTGGTTAACATCTAAAGGCAACCCCAGATACCCAGAAAAAATGAATTAAAGAGAAAAATCTGATGGAGAAACATGAGAATGAAGGGCAAAGCATCAGCCTACAGCATTAAACATCTCTAGCAGGCAGGCCAGCATTAGCAGCCAGCCTGGGGTGAAGGACACACACAGGCATGTTGCCCTGGCTTCATATCCTAGCTGTTGGCTCCATGCTTATCAATTAAGGGGTAATTGAACTTGACCTTCACTCCCCTCTCAGAGCTCTGGACCATTGTGACTCTCTATCCCCTGCTGCTCTCAGAATGCAGAGCCAGCAGGGGGTAGAAAATGAATGCCACGAAATGCATGCACTTGGCCATGACCTTAGCAAATTCATCCCCAAGCTGGTTATTTTTAGGCTGCTGAGCTGGCAGTTTTAGAGCCCCAGCTCAGAGCACTGCTGGCTAACCTGTGACTGTAAGAGTCAGAGAACAGGACTGACCTGGGAAGCTCCCTGTTTTCCTGACTGTCCCTTATTTCACCCAGCACAAGAGGGCTGGAGATGTAACTGGGAGGTCCTGAAGAGTTGCCACAGTGTGCATGACTCACAGCAATAAAGGTTGACTCGGGCTTACTTCTACTCTGTGTTTCAGTGAGAGAGGGGAGGTTGCTTTCATCAACAGGAAAACAGCCTGTACCTTTCCAACTAGAAGCATTGGTGAGTCATTAGTTTATCTCTGCTCAGGTGGGATATGGCATTACAGCAAGAGCCATCGGATCAGTTTACTTGAGGAACCTATAATTTTTCAAGAGGGGGTCTGTTTGTGGTATTTATTCTCACAGCAGGGATGGGAGTATACATCACTTAAACTCCTCTTATAGTTAGGAGATAGAAAATGTCAATAGTTGTCAAGTAAAGTTAGACTGAGACCTCTATTTTATAAAAAACAAGTACAGATTGTTACTCCCCCCACCCGAATATTTAGTGCTGTGGACTACTTACAGAGGTGCTTCTTGCTTGTTCTCTCTCTCTGGCCCTCTGAAGCTTGTTTCTCTTCTGCTCCAAGACTCTGCTCCGAGGGAAGAGGCAGGGAGTGCCATGTCTCCATGGAAGCATGCAGTCCACTGGCTGGAGGGATCCCTAGAGGGGTCAAGATAGGGCTTTGAATCAGTTCAGCTCTGAAGGTAGGTCTGCTGCTTTCTGGATGAGCCCTTCAACACCTAGGTAGTCATGGGCAGCACTTCCACCACTGCACTTGAACGAGAAAATTACAGCAAGCGACTACGTGAATGTTTCAGTATTTGTGGTCCATCATAAAGGGCTAACTACATACTTTATAACTAGGTGAGCAGCAGAGTATATTTTGGAAGTGCACACTGTCCACAATTCATACACACTTCAGTGCCTAGCAGCAGGTTTGGTGAAAGGGAAAGGAGAGGAGAGGGGAAGGGAAAAGGGAAATAAGCTTCTGGGACTGTGCATAATGTGGTTTCTTGATTTTTCTGCTATTAGGAAATTAGCTATACTTTTTTTTTTTTTCCTAATATTATTTTTGTTTCCTCTTGGTAAAGCTGGCTGAATACAGTAGTGTGTAGTAAGTGTGTAGAAAGACGTCAGCAGCAGGAACCTCCCAGAGCAGCGGGCCTGGCCCAAGAGTTCATATGGCTCTTGCATCAGAGGGCTTGTTCGGCCTTTTTTGGCATTGCCCCACTAATTTTACTCTGAATCTCTCAAGAACCAGTGTGAAACATAGCCCACTAGTATGTAATGACAGGGCACATATCTCCTTCAAACATGTTGTATATCCTCACCTCTCTGTTGGGCTGAGGTACGCGTGAGCGGACAGGAGTTGCCTGAGCTGTGCCTGCCAGCTCGGCCTGCTCTGCCTTCCCAGAGGGCTGCAAGGCAGGACAAGTCAGCTGAATTTGGCAGGCGAACCAAAGCCATGTGGAGACTCTAAGAAAAACAACTGCTACCCAGTCGAGAAGCTCTCGCCGGATCGCACAGTGCCTCAGAGCGTGTCCCTCGCTGCCTCACAGCAACCCGGCTCCTGCGAGCACAGCCCTGCGTCGCGGCCGAAACCGAGCCTGACAGCGTATGGGCTTTCATCTTGTAATAACAGCTTCATTTTCTAGACACGAAGTACGTGACCTCCAGCAATACGTGATGAAATGTAGATTGTACATATTCTGTATCCAGTCTTGTCGCCCCCACTGGCAGCCTCCCCTTGGGAGTTTTGACAGTCCAGTGCACCCGTAGTGCCTCCATTTCCTTATACAGCACCAGCAAGGCCACGCCTGAAGGCACAAGTTTCACCTATGAGCCACCAGCAAGATGCCAGGCTTGCAAGATGACAAACTCACAGGAAAAAAAGAAACAGACAACCCTGGTGAGAGCAGACATTGCACGAACAGGCCCCGAAGCCTGAGGGATGCTGCTGATGGGGGAGCTGTGCTTTGGGCACTCCAACAAGTCAACTTTGGGCACCCCAGATCTAGGGGGACATTTGCCTCCTGGAAATCCTGAGCCAAAGCCACATAGCCCTGAAGATTTCGGTAAGCGGTGGCTGTGGACATGCACTGAGACTGGGCTGAAGTGAGCGAAAAGGAAAGGTTTATCACCTTTTCTGCTCTCCCCATTCCACCTCCAGCCCATATGCTTTCTGGAGTCCTACCATGAGGTTTTTAACCTGCCTCCTCACAGCATCTTTCTGTCTTCCCATTCCAAGTGCCAGCTGTGATTTGTTTCCTTTACAGGACTGGTTTTCCATTTTCTATTCGTTGCAGTCTTCTTTTCGTATTTGTGAAGTTTTTATCTAAAAAATGTTGGGCATTCTTCAAGTACAAGCGCAACTATAAGCCTGAAACCCAAAGCAAGACTCACATAATTTGCCTTTGTATTTCATTTTAAAGAATAAGAAATGATAAATAAAATATCCTTGCATTTCGTTTTGTTTCTTTGCCAGCTAAAGGACAGTCTGTCCTAGCGTTAGGAAAAAATCCTAAGCTCAATTGTCATAGATACAGCTTCCAGAGAGTCTTGAAAAAAAATGTTAACTTTCTGTAAATGCAATTGATTATTATAACTCTGAACAAAGGCTTCTACTGCAGCAGCCAAATGATTTGCTAGTCAAAGACAGTGGGGCATTCATTAATAAATGTACATGTTGGTTTAGAAAATACTGCAGAGTAGAGTTTGAGAAAATTATGCTCTACTGTAGTCTCAGTCACTTGCTCTTTTTTCATTTTTTCCCAAAATATTTTTACTGAGCACCATTTTTACTTTTTTTTTCTTTCCAGGAGTTTTAATCTCAGGGTTAATTATAACATTATCATCTGTCCCAGATCAGTACTGATGTAGTTCTGCTGCTTGCTGAGCAGACGGGAGAATGAATTGCAACCTCAGTTCTTTCATGGCTGATTCATACACCAAAAGAGAACGAATCTTTTATGTACGCCTGCCTTCTGGTATTTGGAAAGAATACATATTTTGAAACAGCTGAGATTGCAGTTACTGCTCAGATACAAGTAGAAAACATTCGGGTTACATGTTAATATTTTATTCATGACTGCATGTAATATTAATGCAAAATTCTTCTCCTTCTCATTTAGAATTCCTGTTATCAGTTTGCGACGTTTCAGCTGTTTTAGAGGCCAAGAAGTGAGAGAATGTGTGAATCTAGGCAGGGTCAGCTGGTGTGTACACCTATAGCTAGGTGGCATGTAGGTACGTCTCATTTGACTAGGATCTCCTACACATTGTTGTGCAAAAGCCTCACCTCCACGACCATGGTAATACAGGAGAGACGCTGACAATAACTACGGGGGAGAATTACTGCTCTTTGTAGCTGGACCTTCAGATACAGCTGTTCTTTTCCTGGTACTCAGTAAAAGCACAATACGTATTAAATTGCAACACTGACATTATTTTTCAGCAGTTGATTGTAGCTGGAATTGCTCTTAAACCTGACTTAGTACACAGAGTCTTCGACATGCTCTGAGCAAGCTTTCCTTTTATGCCAAGAACAATGCTGCTGATTCTTCGTATTCGTTTCAGCAATCTGAAATATCTAGAGTTACAAGTCAGTTTTGATCAGAATTCTTTCTCAAATAAACAAAATCTTTTTGTCTGTTCTCCAAGATCAACTGTAAAGAAGCACACCTTTCCCCCAGACTTTCTGGCTGCTGGTTTGGTTGGTTGGTTGGTTGGTTGCAGTTCTGTAGCAGTGGGACTCTCAGAACTAGATGGGAAGTTTCTCTGCCATCATTCAGCTGATTTGGTCCATCATATGTGGGGTCTGTTTTGGACAGTGTAGTTTCAACCTGGCTTGACTTACAAGTGATTGTGGGCAGCTGGATAAAACTCCTATGGTGTGTCTGTGCTTTCTGGCACAGCCCATCCTGGGCGCCTCCATTTACAGCTCCCAGCTCACCTCTTCCTCATTCTTGTGCTCTGTTGGTTTTTAAATATATTAGAAGCTGAAAAATAAGGGGTTCTTTGTTATTATTATTTTTTTCTTTTTCATTAAGTGGAGATTTTTCTAATTTGTTCACTGTAAAAACAAAACCCATGACTAATGGATTGGCATCCTGTGGGAAAGGTAAGTTGCAGTTCAGGCGCAGAAACCCATCTCCAGGGTATTTCAGGCAAACGAATGCACTTCTTTTCAAAGTCCCTGGATATTTTGGGGAGCAAAGAAAACCTGGGAAACAAAGCCATCTGGCCTAGCACAAGAAACAAGTGAAACTGCTTTCCTTCTGCCTGGAATCTGTGCTTTTCTTCCTGTTAACAAGGCGGTGTTGAGCCCTAAAACGTGCAGTTGAATCCACTGCAGTGGCCGTGTCACCTTCGGGTCTGCAAGCAGAGCAATTACCCCGAAGCCCGCTGGCCAGAGAGGCCCTGCCAGGGGTAAGGAGAGGAGGAGAGCTGGCCGGGTGCAGGCCCAGGGCCCCATTTCCTTCCTAGCCTCGGGAGCCATTCCAGCCATACCATGCCGTAGCGCTGCAGGTAGCGCAGGGCAAATAACTCCGGGCTCTGAGCAGGAAAGCAAATATAAAACTGACCGTGAAAATCGCACAGCCGGTTAAAACTGGCTCCGGCCAGGAGCTGCAGTCCTACCTTGAAATACTTAAATCCCATTTGGACGGCCCAGATTTACATTCCAGATGAAGCATTAATGGCTTTCACACAATATCCTCAGCAGAGATGCCCCAGCATACCAACCTCTGTGCTTTTGGTGGTTGGAATTTGTAATTCCTCCAGGAGCTGCATTCTTCTGAGTGTTACTTCTATTTTTGGACCGACTGCTTTATTTAGAAAAAAAAAAAAAGCCCTGCTCTTGTCAAACCGTAGAGACTCCATGAGTCATCTATACAATAACACTAAATTACCCTTCACTGTTATGGTGCCGTTCATCATAATCACAAAGGGATTTATAGAAAACAAACAGAGCTGACAGAGTCTGCTCTTAAGCTTCCTGTGTTTAATCCTCATGCATGTTTAGCCATCCTGGCAGTGCATTGTTGAAAAATGGATTGTTATTAAAATGCTGGGTGTTGCAGTAGCTCCAAAGTCTCATTTTTTTTGCTAATAAAAATGAATGCCACTTCTTTGACAACGTTTGGCTGCCTATCTGCAGGCAATTGCCTGTGTGATAATTGTCTGGATGCTAATGACTATTCTGAAACTTTGATGGATAAAAATTATTTCAGGCTGCCTCATAGGCATCAGTGCTTGCTCATTCAAATACCCTAAAACACATCCCTCACAAAGCATCACCCACGGGCTCTGGCCTCAGGTGAAGCAGAATATGGAGATTTAGGACATGGAGCATTTAGGTGGCTCAAGAGGAGGCAGCAACAGTCAGGGTTTTAAGTGGCATACGTGACTTCTGCAGCCAAGTCCCCTTAAAGCTTGAGCTTCCCTCTCCTAACTTTGCTGTACACCATGAAGAGCCTAGGGAGGAGTTAGTAATTACTTCACACGGTTGCGCCACAGGCTGATGAAGAGGGGATTTAAAAGAGATGCTGAATAACAACCAGATCTTCAAGTATATTTCGGTGCTCCTGTTCCCACGGGCAAACAGGAGGCAGCTGCCAGTGTGACAGGAGACGGTGCAACGGCTCGACGTTGTGCA